ATCTCAGGCCTCCTACCTCCCCAGCTCATGGCACTCACGTATTTCCTGCCACTCCCACTGTTACTCATCCCTGAGCCCTCCTCTCATGGAGAATTAATAAAACCCAGGTTGGGTCCTGGCTGAGGCCTTTATTCTGGCGAACCATTATCCCTACTGAATTTAGGATTGCTTGGCTCCCCATAACTGAATATGTACGTCTTAGTGTCTTTATTCCTGCCTTGGGCTGCACCTCGAAGGGATAGATTGAAATTAATTTTCTGGAATTCTAATAACTTTCTTTTGGCATTACGAATTTAAACTTCCTGGATTGTTATGAGGACTGGGAAGGGCTCTTTATAGTGGAGTACAGCCTTCTGAGGTCAAGGGAAGGCCTCGTTTTTGAGAAATCTATATGAAGAATCCCAAAGAAGTGATACTAGTGCCTTCCTCACTACTTGCCTGCCTTAGTGAGCTCCACTATTTTTGGAGGAGGTGAGTGAGTGTTCCTGGAGTAAGAACTGAGACTCACCCTCAGTGTCTAATTCCAAGTTCCATGGAGTTAGACTGTAGTGCAATGTAAAGAACATTCTAGAAGCTGCTACTCTCCAAAGACAAGAAAAGTATGAGCTCCTTGCCCACAGATATATTCAGTCAGAAGCTCTGAGGGGGCACTTTTTCTATAAAGATTATTTGGATATTCAATCAACAAATATTTACACTACCAGACAAGAGAAATGAGTGGCCTGACCTCACATTCAATAAGGTTGCATGTATGGCTGCCATTCTCTTCCCCTGTAGTCTTTGGCACATTATCCTTCAGGACCTTTCTTGACCCATCTATGAAGAGAAAAGGATGGAAGCCTGGAAAGGTCTGTAGAAGTCAGCTACAAAGCCAAAGTGTTCATCGTTAAGCTATTTGTACCAGAGGTCTAGATTTGTATTAGCTGAAAAACAATTGCAGATCTCAGCACATCGATAAGATATTTATAAAGAAATTATGATATATCCATCCTAAAGCCTGATAGTCTCATACTTGACACATGATGTCAGGGATCTGTGTATCCTAACTTGGGAATTTTACCTTGATATATGCATTGTTATACAAGTATAAGTTATGACACATGATGTGGTACCTTTTTATATATGTGCATGATAAACAGATCCTTTGTTATGAACATAAAGAAGAGATGCAATCATTGTTATCACTTATGCCAACAAGAGAAGCTATCAGTTATAGTTAAATCCATGCCCACTCAATATAAACTGCAGAAATTAATGCCTTGATAAGTAGATTTAACCTTTTCTCAGAGATAGATGGCCCAGGGTGAATGTAGCTGCAACCCTACAATCATCAACTCAAAATCTGTCTGTCTGTTCACTGTTCCTCATCAAGGATCTTTGACCTTCAAGGCTACCTTTGGTATAAATTGGTGGCTGTTTTCTAGTCTTCTTGCTCAGACTGAAACATAGAAGATATTTCTGGCTGTTTAGGGAGCTATTCTAGGAGTTCCACCAACCACACCCAACTGCAAGGGAGACTGGGCAAATGTGTCTTTTGAGTTAACCACAGTAATTGTGCTATACCATACTACACTCTACTGGGGCAGGGCAGCCCATGGTCTTGTCACAAAGAAAGAAGCTGAGAACAGACATGGGGTAGCCAAGTAGTGGTCTCGTTCTCTCTCTCTCTCTCTCTCTCTCTCTCTCTCTCTCTGTCTTTTTCCTTTTTATCGGTACCGGGGATCGAACTCACGACTGCCAGCTTGCAAGGTAGGCGCTTATGCCGCTGAGCTAAATCCCTAGCCCCTCTCTCTCTCTTTTTAAATAGACTTCTGTATTATTTGGGTAAATAGAGAGGAATTGATTTATAATTTTAAGAGTCCAATTAGGAAACATTTATAAAAGAAAGGGGAGAAATTAAGTTTTGAGCACACACCAGGAGTTGAGGTCTTTTGCTCTTCATGTCCTATCTCAAATCATTGTCTCAGAATCAATACCGCTGAGAGGTATGACAGTTTCTCCTTTGGATGAGGGCTCCACAGTGCAGAGTCCCCTTGTGCCTGAGGAGTGCAGCCATGAGAGAATCCAGTGTGTGTGGTCTTCTAAGTCCTGGGCTGTGGTCTCCAAGAGGGTTGCAGAAGGAGTTAAAATGATTCCTGTATGATTCTATGACCCCAGACTTGAGAAGGGCTGTGTTTCCTCATCAGACCATTAGGATGAGAGCAGAAATGTGACCATGAACACTTTTCTAGCTTGGTGATCTCTGGTGGAATGCTCAGCGAGCCTCTTTATTTTCTCAGGATGCAGTGGTTCTCACAATCATGAGTATATTTCCCTCCCTCCCTTCTTTTGTCCCTCACTTCCTTCCATCTTTGTCACTCTTCCTTCCTCCTTTCCTTTTTGGATTCATTTTGCTAATTTTTTTGCAAACATACATATACTCAATCAAAGAAAAGAAGAATTTAAAAGGGTGGGGGAGCTTTCTTTTTTCTCCCATTCCTTAGCTTAAATCTAGTTTAATAAAGGTAATTTCATCTGTGAATTTATAAGAGAATCCTGGAGGGAGTATGATGAAAAATACTATTCCAGCTTAGCCCGCTGCTTGAGGAAACAGGAGAGCCTTGGCTATCGTCCTCAGAGCATTTTCAGTCCTGTGCAGACACACGCAGAAGAGGAAAAGCAAAGTCCAGTTATTCTCAGCCAAAACAGGATTAGTTCTTAGTCTCTTCATCCCACCAGGGAGGTGCTGAGCCCCTGGGCTCCTGTTGGCCCCTCAGAGAGATGGGAGCTCCCCAGTGGAGAATCATTTCCATCTTCCATCCAGCTTTGTCCCCTCTAAGTTTCACTGAGGGTTTCATCCCCCCTCTGGAAGCCTGCAGAGGAACCTAGAACTTCCTCCTGTGGGAAACTGGTGCACTGCTTGTTCTGCTCCAGCACCAGCTCCAGGGCCTGGGAGCCTCCAGAGGAGTCAGCCTGACCTGAAGAGGAATCCTGGCTCTATCCCTTAACCACCCTGGGAGCAGGAGGCTGCTCTGCTTGCCTGGTTCAATGTCACCATCTGCTAAATAGAGAAAGGAAACTGTGGCTTCTCTTTTCCTTCTTTTGTACAGTCCTTCAAGGAAGAGGGAAGGTCTTTTACTTATTTCAGGCCCATCAAGGGTTGCTCTGGGAACTCAGAAAAATAAATACAACTTGGAACAAGGATTATTCTCCTTGTCGATTACTCTCCTGTTCCCTTAACCATAGAACAGTCAGTTGAAGGCTTGTGCAGAAGCAGCACTGTGAGACAGTTTCCAGGGAGAACTTGGAAATACAAAAACCCAGGTTCTAGACCCCAGTTTCAACACCAGCTGGTTTTATGATGTGTTACTTGACCTTTTTGAGCATGGCTTTCTCATCTATAAGAAATGGTGACAATCTCATCAATGGGTTGATTTGTGTAAATTAGCTGTTGTCCACTATTATTTATGCAATTGCCCTCGGTAGGATGGGGCCTCTCTCCAGACCATAACCACTCCCAGGAGACACGGCTGCTTCTGTGGCCAGAGCTTGGAGAAGCAGGTGACCTCTAAGGTTACTCTAGCGGTTTTCCAGATCCACATTTTTCCCCTGACCCTGAAGAAGCCAACAAGACACAATTCTGACGTGTCCAGGATGACTTGAATGGCAGCTCACTGGGCTTCAGTTGGAATCACAGCAAAGCTCAGCCTCTGTCTTCTTGGTGAGCCTTCAGTGGAACTTCTGGCTCAGATGAAAAAGCTCCATACTTTCTCAGGAAACGAACGCCCCGGAGCACACCTGAATCCTGAGCAAATAGGAATCATCTGCCCTTGAACCTGATCCATTACCCACACATCCTGAGATGCTTGGTTGTCCATGGCATTAGGTCAAGTAAGTCTGCCGGGGACCCTCAGGGAGCTCCTCGGATGAGCTACACGACATTTATTGAGCTCTGACTGAATGCCAAGCCTGGTGCTGGGTTCCTTACTTACCTTGTCTCAATTAATTCTATCAGCAACCTTACTGAGTATTCAGGCTCACGAGTTTCACAAGTGACTCCTCACAACATGTGGTCCTGGTGACACAAGATATGTCTACCCAGCTCAACTGTGTTGGACACCTACTATGTGCCACATTTTATTTACTGCCCTGTGCTCTTCAAAGAATTTCAGACTAGGAAGAAGCACTGTCCTGTTCAATACTACTCCTTTATCTGATATCCACCAGAAAAGGCTTTCTCACTGATGCAAAATCTGAGGCATGATAATTATATGAACAGTACTCCCTGAGGTTGTGCAATGTATAGACTCCCCAGTTGTCTCCAGCATGACTACTTGGAAGCCCCTTGCAGACCTCTTAACCCAAGGCATGAGTCCTTGCTGTGGTTTTGCAGACATTGGAAGAGCTTCATAATTATGTATAATCATGTATAAACACAACATCGTACATTAACTAATGACTCACTGATACTCCAGATACTCACTGGAGTATTGCAGAAACTCTGGACATTCCAGCTTCCTGATTTCACTCAGTCCATCTCCTGGACACCTCAGTGCTCCTCCCTGTCCTTTGTGAAGTTTTCAGTGCTGAAGTCCTAAGTTCCAGACCCTCAGAAAATGGCTGAATTTGGAAGTGAGTTCTGTAAACAGGTAATTAACCTGAAAAATCAACTCTAGGGCAGGAATCAGCAAGGTGACCTGTGAAGAATCAGATAGCACTGCAGAGAGTGCAGGCTTTGTGGCCAGTTTCTGTGGCAGGTACTTAACTTCATCATAGTCCCAAAGTCGTGGCAGATGAGGGGTCAGTGAATAAAATAGGGGTGCTTGTCGATGTCCGCTCCCGGCCGGCAGGAAGGACACACGACAAAGTCTGGTAGTGGACAACCTTTTCTTTTTATTTTCCTTCTCCGTACAGCCTGCCCTGGGTTCTCCCAGCTGAAGCCTCCTCTGGTCCGCTCCCCGTGGCTCCTTTTGTGCTTCAGTCTGCCCCAAAGCCTCTACCGGTCCGCTCTCCGCGGCTCCTTTTGGGCTTCTACTTCCGGGCTTCTACCTGGCTTCCTCTTCCGCCCAGGGGTGGCACCGGTATATATACGGGTACAGTGTCCAATCATGTTAAAGTAAGCAAGGCAAGCTGATTGGCTAACATCATCAGTTGCCAGGCAGACTATATTGTTGAGCGGGTTGTTTACGCGGTAAGCAGGAAACTAACATATTCGATGGGAGGGGTAATCTACCTCAGGCCTCACTCTTTACTACAGGCCTCACGTCCGCCAAGTGAGGCGACCGGGCTCGGGGCTGCGGCTCCCAACATCTCCCCCTTTTTTATTTTTTATGAATGTGCGCATCGTAGCCCTTCCTGGACTGGGTGCAGAGGCTTATGCCCTATGCGTAGGCCCACCGTAGGTCCTTGGCTTAGACCCTGGTCGGCCGTCCCATGGTCTGCCAAGGCCCTGAGGCCCTCGTCCTTTTTCTAGGGCCAGGCACAAACTGGACGGAACCTGGATGCACACAAGCTTGCACTCATTTCCTCTCCGTAAAGAAATCCCCTCGGAGAGAAATTTAGACCTGGGCAGCATCTAACAGTCCAGCGGCTTACGTGCAGGATGGGGTAGGGCCTGGCTTAGGTCGAGTCGTGCTGGGGAGGCACGCTCTTACCCGTCATTGACTCACCTACCCTGCTGTGTATTGTCACCTTATGGAGGAGAATGAGGGATGCCCGCCATATCTAGACTCGGTCGTGGGCCGATTGAGCAAGCCATGCATATGCCTGAGGATCTTCTTGTCCATTTCGGGCTACCGCTATTTCTATTCATCTTATTGGTTGGTCTGTGATGGATCTCCAGTAGGGCAGGTCTGATCTTTAGTCGAGGGCTTTGTTGCCCGTGTCAGTCTCTCCGGTATCCACAGTGGTTCTCGTCCCGGTTCCTGTGGGAAAACACAAACCGCGCCTCGGTTCCAGCTGACCACTGGATCCGGGCCCATCCATTGTCCTGTCAGGACATCTTTCCACTTTACCCACCCTTTATGGTTGGGGGAAGGGTTGCAGTGCTCCACAGCTGGGGAGCGATTATCATTATTTAAATTTAAAAAATTGTGTGTGAATAGTGCCATGGATAATCGTGCCTTTGGGGCCAGGCCTTGGCCTACTCCCCCTTTTTGTTTTTTATTTTTTATTTTTTATTTTTATCTTTTTTGGTTTTTTTTTTTTTTTTTTTTTTTTTTAGTGGTACCAGGGATCGAACTGGCGATTGCCTGCTTACAAGGCAGGCGCTTATGCCGCTAAGCTAAATCCCCAGCCCCGTTTCCTCGACCGGCGTTTTTTTTAGCCTGCTTGGCAGAGTAGCCGCCCATGAAAATCATAGGACGGCGGTCGCGACAGAGTGGAACGGGGCGTCACTTTTTGTGCCGGCTGAGAGAAGGGAGGGTTCCCTGTAGCGGCCTCTCGGTGGGGAGCCGCTTTTGGAGAAGAGCTCCAGGGCGGAGCGGATGGCTCTCTATCTCCTCCCCGCCAGAGAGCGCCGGGGAACTGGGTCTGGTCATCAGCGTGCCGACCTTCTCCCATAAGCATTTCCTTGTTCCACCCCCGGTTTCCCCGATTGGCGTTTCTCTCAGCCTGCTCTGCAGAGAACTCTGCATACCAGGCTCGCCAATCCAGGTAACTGCCCGAGGGCAGACAGGCCTTTGCCAGCTGAATCCAGTCCGCGGGGGTGAGGGGCCCAGAAGACAGATTTTCCAGCATGGCAATGGTGTAAGGCGCAGTCGGCCCAAAGGTTGTAACTGCATTTTTAAGTTTTCTAATCTGCTTTATCTCAAAAGGCTCCCATACATTGCGTCCCTGGCCCATAGCTACTTGTACAGGAAATATCCCGTAGGGGCCACTATCTATCCCAGGTGGATGTACCTCATGAGACAAGCGTCCCCCCTGCCAAAGCCGCCTGTAAAAATACCGACCCGCCGGCGGCGGAGCATAAGACAGCGGCCGTGATTGGGCGGAAAATGGGGGCCCGTGCATCACTTCCTGTTCTGGCGAAAGGGGAGGGAGCTCCCAGGCGGCCGCCTCGTGGCGAGGGACCGCCTCCCTCTCGCGCCGGGGCGCACTCAGGAGCTCTCTACTCCTCCGCAGACCAGGTTGAGCAGAGCGCAATTCGCGGCGTGACGCTGGAAAAGAACCCTGCGACTCCTTATTGAGCGACTTAGGCTCCTGACAGCTGGTCTCTTTGGCCTCCCTGCCATTCAACTTTCCCTCGTCCTCGGAGTCAGACGACTCCGAGGCTAGAGCCCCGTCCTCCTCCTTAGCATCCTTGTTCCCCTTGACAGACACCTCTCGGGAGCTCCCTGACTGGGCCTGCTCAGATACCCTGCGTACTTTTGTAAGCTCTTGAGAGCTTTCTCCACAACCACCCTCGCTCTTAGTGTTGCTACCTAACATGTTTCCCATCTTTTAATATGTTACTCACCGCGTGAGGCCCAAGGAATCCGCCACTTACGCGTGAGCCTGAGGGGAGTCTAAAAGCCCTGTAGGTGCGCGCCACCCAGAGCCCAGGCTTATCCCCAACTCACCTGTCTCGCAGCTCTGTACTGGAGCGTTGTCCACTTCCACGTCGCGGGGGTGATCAGTCCCCGGGCGGGCCTCCAAATGTCGATGTCCGCTCCCGGCCGGCAGGAAGGACACACGACAAAGTCTGGTAGTGGACAACCTTTTCTTTTTATTTTCCTTCTCCGTACAGCCTGCCCTGGGTTCTCCCAGCTGAAGCCTCCTCTGGTCCGCTCCCCGCGGCTCCTTTTGTGCTTCAGTCTGCCCCAAAGCCTCTACCGGTCCGCTCTCCGCGGCTCCTTTTGGGCTTCTACTTCCGGGCTTCTACCTGGCTTCCTCTTCCGCCCAGGGGTGGCACCGGTATATATACGGGTACAGTGTCCAATCATGTTAAAGTAAGCAAGGCAAGCTGATTGGCTAACATCATCAGTTGCCAGGCAGACTATATTGTTGAGCGGGTTGTTTACGCGGTAAGCAGGAAACTAACATATTCGATGGGAGGGGTAATCTACCTCAGGCCTCACTCTTTACTACAGGCCTCACGTCCGCCAAGTGAGGCGACCGGGCTCGGGGCTGCGGCTCCCAACAGGTGCTAATAAAATTTTATTCATAGACACTGACATCTGAATTTAATGTCATTTCCAAATGCCACAAAATATTCTTTCAATTTAAAAAAATCATCTAAAGATGATTTTTAATCCAGTCTTAGCTTGGTGGCCTAAGGAAAATGGGCATTCGGCTAGATTTGTGTTGGTCGGGAACTTGGTGTTTGAGTTCCTGGTATTCAGTATTAGAAGGAGTCAGATTGGGAGGAGCTGGTGACCAAGCCCATGCTGGCGTGGTTGGCAGCTCAGAGCTGCAGTGACTGCAGGGCTGGGGGCATTGGAGGCCAGTGCTCTGCTGCCGGTCTCACACCCTCTCTTTTCCTCCCCTACAGAGGATATCAGTTCTAGTAGGGGAATGAAGGGTTAAAATAAACCTCAAGGAACACCTGCACAACTTCTGCCTGCCAGGTTCTTGGAGCAATCATCTCCTGCTGCCAACGTGCAAGGAGCTGGAGCACTGGGACGGAGCAGGGCTGAGTGCCCAATGAGCACCTTGCAAGGGCTGTGCTACTGCAAACTCTCTGACTGTGCTTGTGCTCCACGAACACCTCCGCACCAGTCCTGCTGGTACCCAGGACGACAACATCAGGTGAGCCATGAAGCATACAAGGAAACCTGAACTGGAGAGGTTAACCACTTCCCCGAAGATCGCAGCTACCGAGCGGCAGCCCCAGGCATCAGATGCAGATCCAGTGGCTTCATCACTGGGGATCCAGAGGTGACATAACCAAGTCCCCTCTGCCTTAGGTGCTGCTGTCCAGTCCTTCCCATCAAACCACAACAGCGTATGTCCAGTTTGGTGATAAGGTCACCTTAGCTGTGAGAGTGATGTGTGTGATGTGATCCTAGCATTCACACAGAAATGTTCTTTCTAGAAGATGAGTCACATAGAGGCTTATCCTCAAAATGTCCCTGCAGGTGACACAGTGCATAGGTGACACCTTACTGCTTTCCACTGGTTCTGTCCAGAACAGTTTAAACCCTGTCCTACAGATAATAATTCACAGGGGAAAAACCGTGCATGCTGGTGTCTGCCAGAGGCAGTGGGGAATGGGCCCAGAGGCCAGAGTAAGAGCAGAAACCAGCAAGTGACAGTGCATCCAGCAAGTGACAGGGTGTCCAACTAATGACAGCCCATCCAAATGGCAGAATACTGCCTGACTGTTAAAATGACACTGAGGCCCTGTGTGTTCATCATTCTGAGGGAAAGTTACAATCTGTGAAGAGATAATACTGATTATAGTGATGGGTGTAGAAGGTCTCATTTAAAAGGAAAAAGGCATGTAGATGTGTACACGGACAAGGGTCTGGAATTTTTATAACCCAAATCCTAACATCGCTACTTTGGGCTTATTTATTCACCTAACTGTGGCTGAGTTGATGGCACATTTCCAGGCACATTGCCAGGACTCGTACTAAGTTCTGGGAAGACAGTAATAAATACAAGAGAAACAATTCCTGGGATAATGGGTGAGTTTCAAGTTTTCCAACAGGCTTTATTTTTAAAGCAGTTGTAGGTTCACAGCAAAGCTGAGCAGAGAGTACAGCCAGTTCCCATCTACTCCCTGACCCCCAGCCTTCCTTCCTCCACACCCCCCACCAGGGGCACATTCGTCACAGGACTAACAGCATCACCACCAGTGCGCAGTTCATACTGGAGTCATTCTTGGTACTGGGAGTCGTGGCAGATGTGTAAAGACATGTCGCCACCATAACAGAACTGTTCCCAGTGGCCCCGTGGCCTGCCAATCCTCTGTCCTCTGCTTGTTCTTTGCTCCCTTCCCTGATCCTGGCCACTTTCCAGCTTTTCTCTCTCTCTCTGTACTTCTGTCTTTTCCAGAGTGTCGTGGACCTGGGATTTTATACAGAGTAGTCCCTTCAGCTTGGTTCCTTGACATCAGGGACGTTCCGGGTTTTGCATGGTCCCTCAGTGTACTGGTTTTGGGCACTAACACTCCACGTCTGGGTGTGCCACACGTATCCATTCCCCTCCTGAAAGACACCGCAGTTGCTTCCAAGGCTTGGCAATCAAGACAACACTGCTATGAACACCTCTGCGTGGGTACTACGTGGACACTAAGTTTTGAACTCACTTGGGTAACTGCCAAGGGTGGGATGGCCACAGCACGTGGATTCAGTTAGGTAAGAAGCTGCTGCGATGTCTGCCAAAATTGCTCTGCCACTCAGGGGACCATCAGTGAATGAGAGCTCCTGCCACTTCCTCCCTGCTCTGGCTTTTGGTGTCAGTGTTCTGGATTCTGGCCATTCTAACAGGTCCCAGTGACGTTCTGTTGTTTTGTGACTATGGTGGATTGGGAACTGGTGGTCAGCTTGTAAGAACCAGGGGAACTGAATTAACGTGGCACTGGGTGTTGATGGCACACCTGAGGATTGTTGCCAATATAAAAAGAGAATTGGAGAGGAAGAAGTAGTGTTATTGGTTCTCTGGGGTGCTGTTAGTTCTCCAGTTGCCATTGGTTCTCCTGGAGGAGCCTGTGGAGTTTCTTTCCTGATATGAATTTGGCTGTTCTCATCATCAGAAGAATCATCAGAAGAGCTTAGAACCTTGTCTTGGTTACTGTCCTCTCATTGGTGGAACAAAATATCCAGCACCCCTGATGAAAGAAGGAAAGGTTTATTTAGCTTACAGACTGTAGATGTTTCAGTCCATAATCAGCTGACTTCAAGACATGGTGGCACGGCACTCTGGCAACACTTCAAGGCAGCAGCCAGAAAATGCAGCCAGCTAGGGCAAAAGGGCACAGAACAAACCTCCCACTCAGGGCAGGTATAGCATTCATACAATCTCGCTGTCCTTCTCTTGCCCAGATTCAGGTTATTTACAAAGTAGTAATCCTGGCTCCCGGCTGAGTTTCTTAGTTAAACTTGTATCAGCCATAACAGATCTTGTCATTGAGAATGACTGTGTTTCAATTTGGGGGAGCTCTGGCTCTTACTTTGAGCATCACTTCCTGGCTCCAGAGGGGAAGATGGTGTAGTATTCAGTCTCCTGGAGAAGCTTGTCACAGTGGCTTCCTGAAATGAACTCTGTTGTTCTGATCCTCAGAGGAGCTCAGGACCTTGTTGTCGCTAAGGATGGCTGTGGCACTTTCTGGGGAGCTCTTCCTTACTTTCAGCATTGCTTCCTGGCTGCAGTGCAGAACTTTCAGCCTGCCAGTGCAGATCCTTTATCCCACTGGCATGGACCTGCTAGCTTGCATCGCTGACCTTTGGGTCTTTCCAGTGCAGATCCGTGAAACAGACTTGGACGAGGCATTGTCATGGGCTCTAGGCCTTCCACTGGACTCATGCAGGGCATTGCTGTGGTGTCCAGGCCCTCAACTGGATTCCTTGGGTCTTAGTGTGTGGACAGATCTCCTGCACTTCTTATAGTTGACTCTTTGGGTGACAATATAAAATAGTTCTATAAATTATGTATCCTGTATTAAATTGCTTTCCTTGCAAACCCTGACTACAGCAGTGACTCTAAAGACGGACGTGTGGCTCTACAGTTTTTCAGATATTTCTTTGCCATCTGTGTGCCACTTTGGCGAGGTGTCTCTTCAAGTCTTTGGCTTGTGCTTTAATTATTTGTTTCTTTGTTGAGTTTTAAGATTCTTTTTATATTTTTTGGATAAAAGTCCGTTATTGGACATGTCTATTGTAAATATTTTCCCCCAATCTGTGGTTTGTTTTCTCATTCTTGTGGTGCTGGTGATATTTAGTTTCTTCTTTTGCTTCTCCCTAAAGTTTTCCAAATGAACAGGAATCATGCGGATGGATTAAAACATTGGGCTTAAGGCAGGAATTTCACATGTATATCCTGTAACATTCACATTAACCCCGTAAGGCATGAGTGTGTGTTTGTGTACATGCAAATTTTTATGTGTGTAAAAATGAAGTCTGTAGAGGGACCATGCCTGGCTCAAGGTCATGCCAGTAGGAAGGTGCATTGGTGGATTTGAAGACAGCCCAGTCCAACTCTAGAATGAGCATGCCTCACACAGGGTGCACTTGCAGAGGGGCTTCAGCTCCTACCCCTGGCTTCCCTGCGGCCTTGAACTTCCCCCATCAGGACTCTGCAGCCACATGGGCAGCCTGCCACCACCAGCCTCCTCGTTCTCTGCTCCAGCTCCTGGAGTAAGTAGCTTTCAGGTCCTCTGCAGTGCCCAGCCCAGCTCTGAAGCATCCATGGCTCTAGCCATTGCTGGCTATAGTGGGGAGAAACAGAGAGGGGTAACAGGCACAAGAGACAAGAGAGGAAGTCCCTCATGGCCCTGCTGAGTGGTCTTTCTGGGTCCCCTGTCATCAGCCTTGCCCTACATATCACCCTTAAGTGATGCCGAGGCTCACATGCTGGTCAGACGCGGTGGCTTAGGCAGTGTCTGCTTCCTGGAGGACACTGCCTGGAGACTCCTATGAAGGCGCTGGCCAAGGCCTGGGTGAGAGCAAAGCCCTCTGTGAAGTTTAGGACCAGGGCACTGGCCAGCCACCTAGGTACCTCCCACCCCCATGGGCCCCGTGGTATAAGTGCTGAGTCATGGTTTCATGGTATCTGCTTCTTCATTAACTCACTGAACAGACATGTACTGAACACCTACTACATATCAGGTGCAGTCTGGTCTCTGCTGGTTCAGCAGCGAATGAAAGAACCCCAGTATCGTTGCTTTTTTGTTGTTTGTTTTTGTTACTGGGAATCGAACTCAGGACTTAGTGCTTACAACACGTTCACTTTTAATGAACTTGATTTCCCACGGGTGGCAGAAATTGCTTCATAATATATCCTGTGTAAAATATGCAAAATAAGCTCATATTTTACACAGAGCAGATTATGAAACAATGGTCAGTAACAAAAGTTAGTAAAACAGAGCATAAAGAGTGTGAGTGGCTTTAATTTTAAAGGCATAGTTTCTTTAAGTACTTATGGTGTTGCTGTCTGATAAAACTACTTCAAGCCTTCTTCAAAGCTAATCACAATCC